CAACGCTCCTTTTGAATGAGAAGTGATATCGATATCGTGACTCACTTTTGATATTATAAAATGATAATAAGTTCAAATATTGGACTGGGGTGAATTTACCGTGCAAGTAGGAGATTAATTTTGTGAATTTTTTAACGTTAAAGTTTTAGTTTTTATGGAAATTTTTTGATTATTTATAAAAAATTGAAGAGTTATTGATTTTTTAAAGTGATAAAATAATTTAAATAAAATTTTATTTTGTAGAAAGAGCTGAAAAATTTTTAAACTTAAAAATTTTATTTTTAAAAATGATTTTTTTACTTCCAAATTTTTTTTTCTTCAACATAATTAATTTTTTGTCAAAAAATATTAAATTAGTAATTAATTATTTAAATAGAACGAATTTTTATTTAATGATAAAAGTAAAAAAAATATTTTTAATTATGAGAAAATAAAAAAAAATTAAGAAAATATTTTATAAAGAAGAAATTGCAGAAAAAATTTAAGAAAAATTTTTTTTTATAAATTTTGATATAATTAAAATAAATAACAAAATATCGAATGAATAAGAGAGTAAATAAAAGCATTAAATCAAGTAAATATATTATATAGCTATGATGAAGCAATGCCAATGTCGTGTGTCTAGAGAATGTGTCGCGCATAACTGATGAATTAGCAAATAAATAAATAATAAAAAAATCAATTTCTTAGTACTTGTATACATACCACCTCAACTTTTTTTATTTTTATTCACTGACAAATTTATTTATATTCTCTTTTATCCACTGTAACCAGTCATTCTTATATATAAGAAGTAAATTCTTACATATACTCAATACTTTATACTTTATACAGTCGGTGAATTATGTACTAACTTGCCATTGCGGTAATATAATTACCGGCGCTGTTTCCGGGCATTAATCTCTGCCCGTGTCAGCTCACATGTAAATTTATACAGTGTAAACATCGATAGCGAACCGATTTAACCCGGGATTTATTGCTACACTTTTATTACCACCCGTGTCATTTGCGAATCAGTTAAACTCAAACTAAAAGTCATTACAAAAGTGTATGATTGTAATAAAAGTTTGGTTTGCTATTATACAATTTATTAAAGATAAACATCGGGATATTTTTAACTGCGGATTATAAATTTATATATAACAGCTTTTATTTATATACACCCGTACGATTAATCGGAGCCATTTGATACCCACTGCTGAATTTATTATTTTATGCAGTTACAGTAGATCATTATATTTCACGGGAGTTTAAATACTCAATTTATAACAAAATAAATTTTATTTTAAATAATTATTAATAAAAAAGTTTATTTAATTTTTTTAACTTAAACTTCAAAATTCTGGGTCAAATATTGAAAATACAAAAAAATCTTCAGACCTTTTTTATAGAGGCTTTAATTCCCTACAAAGAAGGTCCGTATCAATGTAGTTTTATCTCTCTTTCTTTTTGAAAGTCAAAAAGTCAAATTATAGAACTTATAATTACTAGAAAATATTTTTATTCCTAATTATTTTCTTGAGTGAAGAAAAAAAATTTTTTTAACACAAGAAATTTCACTTATTTCAACAAAATTAATTCTCTTGCTTTAAGAAATACGTATCTTGATTCAAGAAAATTTATTTAAGTCAAAAAAATTTTCTTGTTTTGAGAAAATTTAGCCTCTAGCTCCAAAAAATTTAGTTCTTGATAGAAGTAAATTTTCTTGTCTTAAGAAAATTTCTCTCTTACTCCAAAAAATTAAATATGACAATAGAAGTCAATTTTCATTAATATTTTTATTGATTAACATGTCAAATAATATTGAATGATTTTTTTTTAATTCAATATGTATAATTGCACGCTAAAATAATATAAAATGGGTATCAAATATTCAAGAGAAAAATTTTTTCAAGGTAAGAAAATTTTTTTCTCAGCTGAAGTAGGTGGCGCTGCTTCCCTAAAGTATCTAAAAATCTTGATCAAATATAAAAATTTATTGTATCAAGTATTTATGATAATTTGAATTAAAAAAAAATTACTTCTACCAAGAATAGAATTTCAAGAAAAATTTTTACTTCGGTCTCCCTTCAGGCACCCGAAAATTTTTTTGAGCCAAGAATTTTGTTCTCCAGTCCAGAAATTTTTCTTTCTGTGTTAGTTTTTAAAAATTTAAAGTGCTGTTTGTGGTTAAAGTATTAAAGATACAAAAAAATTATAAGATAAGTTTCTTATAGAAGATTAAATTATCTACAATAAAAGTCCTTATCAATTTTATGGTATCTTTAATCCTTAAGATTAAAGTAAGAATTTTAAAAGTAAAGACTAAAATTTAAACCGTCTTGTATAACTATTAATTTTTTAATTTATTATTATCTTTAATTAAAATTTAATGATATACAAAATTATGTTTATGAGTAATAAAATTAAACTAATTAAAATTCACTAAAAAAAAAGTCTTCCAATACCCGGTACTGGATTAAAATTTATAAATCAGCGCAATGAATATTAAATAAGACATAAATCCAACGTCCCATATAATAAAATTACAAACTGATGAACTCTAGGATCGTGAGACAAATTTTAAAATATAATGAAAACATAAATTGTCTAGTGTTGGCTTAAAAACCCGGGTTCATCGATTCACACCGTTCAACAATTAAATAAAGGGTATAATCTCTTCGAATTTTTAGTATCAGTTACAGTAAATAAATATCAGACCCTGAGAAACTGGTTAGTTATCTCAAAGTCTGGCGCGAAAGCCGACATGTTAATACACATACAACAACCAGCTTAGCCATACGCTAATGTAATGTAAGCCACATAAACTTTTCTCGAGCTATATATCTCTTAAGGGCAAAAGGTCATGAGAGACAGAAAATTGTTCGAATCTCAACTCCGTCCTCAGGACATCACCCATTACTATTTCTATAACTATTATTTCTAACTCTACCCATTATTTCAGCTTAACTTAACCATCTGACATTCTACTTTCAATATAATGACATTAAAGTTTGCAGTCACTTAACAATTTTTTAATTTTATTTACTTAACAAAAAAATTTGTTCCAAAAAATTATTTTTAAAAAATTGTATTTTTTATTTTTTTAAATTTCTGTATGTCAATTTTTTTTTTTGCCATAATTTATTTTTATAAAATTATTTAATATGTGCTAAATTAATTTTCATTTCAATATTTATTAAAAATAACAATTGCACAATTAATTACTTGCTTTTTTAAAATTTTTAATCCATCAGATATAATAAATATATAAATTTCGACATTAATTTGAAAAATGCTGTCGCCGAGAAAACGGCCGACCGGCTCACGCCTCATTAAACAAGCACAGTCTTACATTATTACACATGTAGTAGACTTATATACACTCGATTGTGATTGTGACTGGTCTAGAGCTGGAGTGTTACATTAATACTGTGCATTACATCAAGTACGGGTGTAACGGGCCGTAGCCTGTAGGCTTAACCGCTTGGAATTGCTTAGGAGCTTAATAAACTTAACTTACAGTGTATATACACATGCATATGTTACATATAATACCCAGAGACTATCTGACTGTCGAGATTTATCCTTTAGAGTAATTAGAATTTTTTTTTCAATTAATTTCTTGTGAATTAAAAAATTAATAGTTCTACGAGACGGTAGAAATTTTAATCTTTACATTTAAAATTCTTGCTTAAGGATCAAAGATATGGTAAAATTGATAAGGATTTTTATTGTAGATAATTCAATCCTCTATAAGAAAATTTTTTTATCATTTGTTTGTATCGTCAATATTTTAGCCACAAACAGCACTTTAAACTTTTGACAACTACGAACAAGTTCTATAATTTGACTTTTTAACTTTAAATTTTAATTTTTGAAAAAGGAAGAGAAATAGGAGTAAAATTTTAATGATTTTTTTTGTAAGAAATTAAATTCTCTATAAACAAAGTCTGATATGATTTAAAAAAAATTTTAAAGTTATGAAAAATTCATATTATTTCATTAAAATTATTATAAAATAAATATAACAATAATAATAATAATAATTTAATAAATCTATAATTTTTATTTTATAATAATTTTAATGATATAATATAAATTTTTCATAACTTAAAAATTTTTTCCGGGATTCAATTTTTTTGTATTTTCAATATTTAACCCAGCATTTTTATTAATTTTAAGATTAAAAAATTAAATAAACTTTTTATTTTATACATGGAAAAAAGTAAACTGTAATAAATAACAGTCGATTTATAATAAGTAATAATCAACTGCTAAAATTTACCATTTCAAACAGTAAAATCGTGATTTTACTATTCACTTTATAATATTTACCATTTAAACGTTACAATTTACTCTTTACATGGAAGAAAATACTATTTCAAACAGTAATATTCGCTATGTAAATGTCTAAAATGTTTAAGTATGATAAATGATAATTAAGAATTCAGACTTTGATATTTATCATTTCGTACCTAAAAAATGATCTTATGATATGTAAAAAGTATAAAATAAAGTTAGTAAATTTCTAATACAAGCAACGTCAATATTTACAAATTAAAATGGTAAATTTTAAACGCAACGCTAAAAATCAAACTGTAATTATTGACTTGCTTGGACTGATAAAATGTATATTTTAAAAGTATAATTTTTACTGTTTCAAATGTTAAATTCTCCCAGAGCGAGACCCTCTTCTCTTTCATCTGAGTTCCCCTTCTCCTCTTAATATGGACTATGTATTGAAATGGCAATTTTTACTGTTTGAAACTGTAATTTTTAAAGATGAAAGAGTCTTTTATCCTTTCTACATTAAGTTCTGTAATATTTATATTTTTGCCACCCCGATTTTTGCTTTACTGTTTGAAACTATAAAAATTAACCGAAATCCGAGTGAATATTACAGTTTACTTTTTTCCATGTAATAAAAAAAATTTTGAAACACTTATTATTTAATTTTAAAATAATATTTTACATAATATAATAAAATAAACAGGTTTAAATTCCCACTAATTAATTCAATGATTACAGGTGGCTTGAAACACGGTAATGGTGGAATCGCGAGCGCCAGTAGTTCGCGCAGTACGAGTCCAAGCCAGCAGCCACCACAAGGATTGTCCTTTATCCCTCAACCGCGGACTCAAAACACAAATCGGCAGCCCACAGCCACCACACCCAGGTAATTACTCCAAATAAATTCCCCATTACAAGTTTTTACACCCCCACTATCAAAAAAAAAAAAAAAAATCAAATCTAATAAAAAAATGAACCATTTCAGCCCCCGAGCATCAACAGTGGGTCGACCGAGCGTTCTCCGGGCTCCTCAGCCTTCTCCGTACGCGTCGCCTCCTCCCGCACCGGTCCAAAACAAGAACTCGGTGCTAGACAAGTTCAAGCTCTTCAACAACAAAGACAAGAGCCAAGAAAAGGGCAAAGCTTCTTCAGGAGTCTCCAAGCGCACTTCCAGCTCCTCCGGGTTTTCTTCCGCGCGCTCCGAGCACTCTGATAGCTCGACCTCGCTCTGTGACCAGAGCCGGAACCTAGTAGAGTCTCCGAAGACTAAAACTTTGAAGTCCAAGTTACAGTCCAAGCAATCTGCGAAGCAATCCAGCCCCAAATCTGGGCGGAAAGACCAAACCAAAGCTCAGAGCAAGATTGTGAAGAAGGGCTCGGATAAATTGAGTTACCCTCCGCTGGAAGATGCCAAGTCCGCGATTAAAATTGCCAACATTCACACTAACACCGGCAATTCCAATTCTAATGCCAAGATTCCGCTAGAGAAGGAAAAGCGTCCGAATAATTTAGAGCCGCTGAAGCAGCAAATAGTTCCGCAGAAGTTTAATTCTGCTTTGATTCCTCCTGGGCACCAGAATCAAAATCAAAATCCAAACCAGAAGATTATCCAGGAGATTGCTGGGAAAATATCCACCAAGGTTGATCAGAAGGCTATTCAAAGGCCGAAAATGGAGCTACCGAGCAAGATTAATTCCCCGACAATGAAGGTTCCTGTTAATGGACTGAACAAAGACTCTGTAAAAGGATTCCCAACTTGCAATGGAGTCATTGGAGCTTCTCCGGTTCGGGACAGCGAGTTGGAAAAAACTATGAGCATGAATTACGCTAATTCAAACTTCTCCGAAGAAAAATGCTTGGATAAGAATTTTGACGGCAATATGGACGGTAATAAAAAAACTGAGGTCGATAATTTGGACACCTGCGTTATCGATAACCACAAAAGCGAAGAAAATGACGGCAATGATTCTGCTGGGAATGTTAATGCTAATTCGAATGTTAATAAAGCTTCTGCAGAAATGAATTCGCAGAAAATAAGCCCGTTTCCGAACTCTGGAAATGGGCAGACTGCGCCGGGGCTGAGTCCGGGTTCGAGTATTCCCAAACCGATGGCGCTGGTGAAAGGAACCACTAAGCCGCCGAAGGAACCGGTTCCTGCGATCCCGAGCGCGATGAAGATGAAGCCGGATTCGGTCCACAGGAAACTGGACCCTAATACCGTGGCGATGGTCTCGCCGATGCCCAGTATCTCGGATTTGATGTCCGAGAGCTCGCACAGTAACTCGAATAGCACGGGCCAGAGTAATAGCAGTGATAGCAGTGTTATCTACAGACCTAGCAGCGAGAGCGGAAGTGATATTAAGACTATTCCCAACAGGAAAATTGATACTACTTTTGAGCAGATGGAAAAGGTGAGCAAACCGGTAAGCGTTCAAAAAATTTTGGGGGAAATTAAGTTTTATGGATGAACGAATGGTTTTTTGATTATTTATTTTTTTAATGAATTTAATATAATAAAAATTATCTTAAACAGTTTTATAATTTTTAATTGTAAAAAGTTTTTAATTTGACTAATTTTTATCGGTTTAAGTTAATTTTTATTCTTAATTCAAGATAATTAAATTTTTTTTAAATAATTTTTATGCTCAAAATTTATACTCTTGATTAATTGTAATTTTTTTTTTATTACATAATTATTTATTTAATTTATATGCCAAGGCATTAAGCCTAATGGCAAGTACAGAATATGTAACAGATTCATTCAATCACATAAGTATTATAATGTATATTTAGAACATAAAAGAAATAATAATTCTATGTTCAGTAAAAAAAAAAAAAAGAAAAATAATGTAATAAAGTAAAAGACCCAGTTATTGACACTGGCCTAGTTGTTTGACACTTGCAATTTTATTCTAATTGAAAAAATTAAATGTTCTCAAAAATCCAATTTTCTTAAAATTTATAATTCAAAAATTATATTTATTAATTTATTAGAGTTAATTTGTTTTTTTTTTTAAATAAAATTGCATGTGTCAATAATTGGGTCTTTTATCTTACAGAAAAACAATAGTTTATACATCATTCAAATAGTAAGAGGTTGCAAACATAATTGCCAAAAATTTGCTTCTTTATTCATAAAAAATTCATATGCTTTATTTTTGAAGATAATAATTAAGACAATAAGAATAAATTTAAGTCTGGGATATTTTTATTATAAAATGGATTTTTATAGTTGAATTTGGTAAAATTTATATCTTCATTATTTTTTTTTTTGATAGACAATTTTTTATATTGAATTTTTGGAGCAATTTTAAATAGTTTTTTAGTTTTGTCATATTTTTTATTAAATTGATATTGTTTCAAAGGTACCAAAATTATATAAGTTGTAATAAAAATATTAAAAAGTTATTAAAAAATTTTTTTTTCTATAATGTATAATTGTTGGCAGTCTATAAAATTAATTACTTAAATAAATAAAATGAATCTAAAATAAAATCACATGAAAGAATATAAAAAAAAATGAAACCATCCGATTAATCATAAAGCATGTTTGTATAAAATACACAATATAATTTAAATAAAGTCAAGTATCACAAAGAATAATAATAAAAACAAATAATATTTAAAATGTAGGTGTTATCGGATAGCTGCGGTGGTAATGTAGCAGATGACGACACGGAAATGACCGTGAAACCGATGCAGCCGCTGCTGAGAGGGTACACACCAGGTGCTCGATGTCTCCAAACTCTTCCGAGCCGTACGACCGGCCGGCAGTACACAATCCTCCACTCATCGTCTCATCATCACGTTGCGCAAGATTACTCCGACATTGACATCGCCTCAGGATACTTGAGCGACGGAGAGGTGCTCAGAGGGGCAGTGAACATGGCCAACCGTACGGTATCGGATTTATGCGACGGGTACATGTCTGAAGGTGGTGCATCACTCTATTCTCGGAGGATCAATCCGTCTTATGGTCACGATCATGATAGGTAAGCGGATCTTTTGTCATGCCTGATGCTGATGAGAATCCAACCCAATAATTTATTGTTCCTCGGGCAGTAAAATCCCGAGATAAGTTACTTCGATCCCTCTTTTACTATTTTCCTTCTTTTCTTCCTCCTTTCTCATCCTCCTCAAGCTTTTCCGTATAAATTCCTCCGAGATCGCCGATAACTCCATTGAATCCATTACGATTTTTATTCAATCAGTCTGCGTCAGCTTAAAAATCTACTGCCAAAAATACTCAATTACTCAACCGCAAATTATCTAATTACTCGCCGGGGTATTTAATCATTCCCGAACTTGTTGGCGACCGCAAATACTGTTATAAAACTATTTTATTTAATAATTACAAACACATTACTTTAATTACAGGGCTCTGAAAGCTACCCATGTTCGGATAAATTTACCGATAATTATTTTCATTCAACACATTTTAATTATCGAGAAAGCTTTAAACTTAAGGGTTGGACGCACTTGAAATTTTTTATTTATTTTTTTAGAGAAAAAAATGTATTTAATTTTTAATAACTAAATTTTCTATTTCTTTAACTTAAATTTTCTATTTTTCTAATTTTCTATTTCTTAAATTTAAATTTTTCAATAATTTAGAATTTCGAAAGCTTTTAAATTATAAAATAGTCATAATAATAATTCATTACATTTATTTTTTAATTAATAATTAACGAGCAACCTTGCAGTCACTATGTAACTGCTGTGACTTGTAAACTATAAATAAATGAAATTTTGCTTTATTAAATAATAACTTTTGTTAAATTGCACTATAATTTCTTAAATATTGACGTTTTTAAAGATATAAGCTCATCCTGATGTTGCACTCATCGAGATCTTCCATTTGAGTACCCACATCAATTTTTGAAAAATACATATATATATATATATATATATATATATATATATATATATATATATATATATA